CACCAGATTCAAGCTCGCCGCCATTTATTTGCTGATTATTACAACTGTTTAGATTTTCATCAAAATTATTTAGACCTCCTTAGTGGTTGTTAATTTTTGTTCCTAATCTTTGTTTCTATTAAACAGATGTCTCGTCCATGGCCTCCTTCTAAAGCCTTGGTCCCATCTAGTCAACCTTTTGTTCCTCCTCCTTTGGAGTTAGTCACCAAATATCATCATGTTGAAATGGTTAACCGTTATCAAATTCTTGGTAACATTCCTAAACCTAGTTACACATCTGCTTTGGCTACTGATCCTTTTGCTTCATCTAGTCAAGCAGTTACTCCATATCCTCCTAATCCTATTAAATCAGCCCGATCTAATTATGTTAAATCAACCACTACTAATCTCTTTTTCAAAGAACCTAGTCACCCAAAGAGTCATTCTGTTCATGACCTGGTTAAATCTTACTTTCCTCCTGGATGGCATTTTATTCCTCTCCATCCAACAAAGACAATCACCTTCTATAAAGATATCCTGTTCAACCATCAGTCCATTGTGATTAAACCTATTTATGATCGCACCTACACTAGTAAAGTTGTCTGCCATTCACTTTATATTCACAATATTGTTTCCCTAGCTGAGTGGGGTTCTCCATATCAACTTCGCGATTGACCTAATCACTCTTTTCAATATAGTTATTATGACTATATTGATGCCTGGTTCAAAGTATTTTTATATCAAAATGAAACTAATAGTCACTTCTGGTTTCTCCAGTTTGATCAAAAGTTCAAATCAGAATTACCTACTTGGTTTCTGCGATGGTGGACTCATTATGGTGCCATTTCAGATATCTTCCCGTCTATTTTGATTGAACAGATTAGCTACTTCTCTACTGTTTTCTCATTCACACCACAGCAAAGGAAACTTCCTCAATTGCTTATTTTTATATCCAAACACAAAATCCCTTGGATATTAAAATGGCAATATGGCATTTCTGATGATGTTACTTACTGTCAACATATGGTTAAATTGTGAGATAATTCCAAAGTTTCCCACATTGTTGAAATTGTTCAAACGGAATTCCCGATTAACATTCATGCTCCTACACCCGCCATGGTTAAAGCTCAGCAGATCCCAACTGCTTCAGTCACTCAAGGAAGTCATCTTCCTCCAGTCAATCTTGGAAGCCCCATTGATCCTACATCTGGTTCTTCCAAACCCAAGTCATCTAAGCCCAAAGCTGCTGCTCAACCAGCCCAATCAAAGCTCAAACCTGATAAATCCAAGTCAACTCAGTCAGCTCATTCAAAGCCCAAGGTTCAACCTGGATCATCTAGTGATCAATTGATTCAAATGGCCCGTCTCCTGATGAATCAGGCCAAGACCCAATTACAAGATGAATCTTCTGATGATGAGCCTCCTGCACTGGCCCAAAAGTCCAGTTCATCCAGCTCATCCAATTCAACTGCTCAATCAACTAGCTATGATCCATATGCGGCCCATTTTCAAGATGCTCAGGACCCGTATGCATAGCTACTAGTCAACAATTGCCCAACCAGTCAACATTGGATTCGAGATATATACATTATAGCTTCACTCTCTACTCATCTTTTGAGAAAAGCTGCTATTTTGTCTATATATTGATTTCAATCAGTCACATGCCACCGAAAGTAATGAATAGTAAAAAATAACTGTTCACTTTCACTATTTACCAATCAACAACAGTCAAAAGCTACATCAACTTTCAGTCAATCGGCCGAAAGCATTTGGCAGTCTGTCATTCCCATGTGTCGCCAGCTGCTCTCATGATCAACTACAAGTCACATGCTGCATAGTTAATATTCATTTTCTATAAATTGTAATGTTCTAGTCAGTTGTAGGCAGAGGTTAGAAAATTGGGAACTCTGAGTGAGAACCAACACCTATCTCCGAAATTTCTATTCAAACTATAATGTATTTCGAAGCAACTCCTTTTTTTTTTGATCGGCTAAACAAAATCTATATTGATGAAACAAACAAAGTATGAAATATTACATCAATATAGAGGAGCTTAGAGCTAAGAAGAAGCTCCAAGCACCCAGTTGGTGAGGCACCAACAAAGAAGACAAAAGAATAAAGGAAAACAACAAACAAAGTAACTGGAAGTAGACAGACTAAAAGAACAGCAACATTGCAGAAAAATTAAACCTCCACCATTGCAACAGATCAGAAGCCTTCCCAATCCTCCAAGGCACCCACAGACCAAAACAAAACAGCAGAGAGGGCTTGTTCTTTGGCCCAATAGAACTGACAGTAGGACCAGCACCCAGCATCACAAAACAGAACTGATCGGAGGCACCCACAGCAGCAGGCAGGGCTTGTGTTTTGACCAAAATGAAGCTGCCAGAAACAGACAGATCAGACCAGCTCCCAACACAGGCCTGCCAGTGGATTAATCAGACCATATGTAGTCTAACAGCACCACAGAACTGCAGAGAGATGAACAAAGCCAACAAAGCCAAGCCGAGAGACAATGAAGAAGGCCTACTGATGAAGCTTAATAGAGAAACAGGGCAGAGAAATTGACTATCAACAGATCAAACACAAACCCAGCAGATCAACAGATCAACAGATCACCAGATCAAAACATCCCCAGATCACCAGATCAAAACATCCCCAGATCACCAGACCATAAATTCTGCAGACTTAATTTTGCATAAATTCCCCAAATCCTGCAGACTAATTGACTTATCACCAGATCAACATCCCCAACACAGCAAAGGCAGCCTATCTAAAGATTTGAAATCCCAGCTCTGATTTGTCTCCAGTTGAAGGTTAAATCATCAACTGAGAAGGGAAGGTCCTTGATGCTTGCTTTCAGCCATAGTGCAGCTCTGACTTTGATAGTTTCACTCAAATCTGAAGTATTTGGTTGAGCCTCTTCGAAAATACATTCGTTCCTACACTTCCACAACGACCAAAGAACAATGAGCGGGATAGCTCTCCAAATTAATCTATCAAAGTGATTGAAGTTTACTCTCATCCACCATTGAAGAAGGCCATCAACTGAATCTTGAATGCACCAAGAAAGCCCCCATTCTTGAATAATTGAAGACCAAATCTGCCATGAAAAGGGGCAGTGAAGCAAGACATGTGAAGCTGATTCAGATTCAAAGCCACAGAAGGTGCAACTGATGGAAACAGATGGGTCTAAAATACCAATTCTGTGCATAAATTCTGCAGACTTAATTTTGTTCTTCCAAGCCAACCAACAAAAAAATGAAACCTTAGGAGGGACAGCTCTGTTCCAGATATGATTACAAATTGGAAGATGAGAGCCAAGTGTGGAATTACTCAAAGACTAAATTGAGGAAACAGAAAACTCACCTCTGTTTACAGTAGCACAAGCCCAGAAAATACAGTCAGCTTTGTGTGGAGACAGAGAAGGGGCTGACGATAGGACTTCGATCAAACTAGCTTCTTCCTCCAATTCCCAAGAAAACATCGTTCTTCTAATGGGAAAATTCCAAGTATTTGGGCTGGTTTTCCTATCAAAGTATTGATGAAGAGAACCATCTTTATCAGTTGAGAGATTGAAAAGGAGGGGAAAATCATTCTTAAGGCAAGTGTTGCCACACCATTTGTCATGCCAAAACTTGATTCTGTTTCCATCCCCCACTTTAATTTGACAATTATCCACATAGAAATTGAAAATATTATTGCAACCCCGAGAGTTTGGATCTGAATTTGTCAAGCACAGGTTTCCATGTATATTTTCTCCCGGGGTTGGCTCCAAGAGGTAGACCTAGAAATTTCAGAGGTAGGCTGTGGACTTGACAGTTGAGGAGCTTTGCAAAGTTGAGCAAGAGTGAATCATCCACACCAACACCACATACCACACTTTTGTGATAATTTATCCGTAGACCAGATAAAACTTCGAAGCATCTTAGAACTCTTTTAATAAGCACCATCTGATCCCAATCTGCTTCAGAGAAAATAATTGTGTCATCCACAAATTGCAGATGAGACAAAAGAACATCCTTTGACCCAACAAGGACTCCTCTAAGTATTCCAAGATTAATTGCCCTGTTCAAAAGCATGTTAAGACCTTCAGATACAATATTGAACAGAAAAGGTGAGAGCGGGTCGCCCTGCCTAAGACCTCTTTGTGGTGAGAATTCAGTAGTGGGTGAGCCGTTCACAAGAATAGAGATCCTGACTGAGGTAATACAGGTTTTTATCCAGGAAATCCATTTGTTCCCAAATCCAAAATTGGACAGAAGGGAAAATAAAAATTCCCAATTCACAGAATCAAAAGCTTTTTCGAAATCTAGCTTTAAAATTATACCGAGCTTCTTGGACTTTTTCCATCCATCCACCACTTCATTGGCAATGAAAACCCCATCTAGGATATTCCTCCCGCCTATGAATGCAGTTTGTGTTTCACCAATGATGGAGGAAAGAATTGGCTTCAATCTGTGTGTTAGGACTTTAGCTAGAATTTTGTAAAGGGAACTTACCAGGCTGATGGGTCTGAATTCAGACAGGCCAGTGGGATGGTCCACTTTGGGTATCAGACTAATAAAAGTGATGTTGATGCCATAGGTCAGTTTGCTATTTGAATGGAAGTCCGCAAAAAATTGCATAATCTCGGGCTTCATGACCTTCCAAAATTTCTGATAGCACAACAAGTTAAAACCATCAGGGCCTGGAGCTTTGTTGTTATTGCAGTCCTTAATTGCAGCCAAAACCTCAGCTTCGCTGAATTCTGAGATCAGGTGTTGAGATACATAATCTAACCCAATGGTCTTGTAAACCCCTTCCAAGACAGGTCTTGTAACCCAATCCTCCGCAAATTGTTTCTTGAAGTGTTGATGGACCTCAAACTTAACCCTGTGAGGATCCTCATAAGATACCCCATTAACTTCAATAGAGTTAATCATGTTCCTGCTCTGTCTGGCATTGGCAAAAACATGGAAAAACCTAGTATTCTTATCCCCATTGAGAGTCCAGTTCAATCTGGATTTTTGGTGCCAAATCTACTCCACCATCCTATGAAGCTTCCACATCTTACCTCTGACCACTCTTCTTCTTGCCAATTCAACTTGAGTCAGAGGTCTTTCTTCTGCCAAAATATCAATTGCATGAAGTTCCTCTTCGAAAACTTTAAGTTCAGATGAGACATTACCAAATACCTCAACATTCCATTTCTTCAGTGCTAGTTTCAGATGCTTTAACTTTTGAACAAGTATGTAGCTAGCCCATCCAGTGACCAAAGAGCTGCTCCAGATAGCAACAAAAAATTTAGAAAAGCTTGGATGAAGAGTCTAGGCATTTAGAAACCTGAAAGGTCTAGGTCCCCAATCTCTTTCATCTTCCATCATCAATAGTGGACAATGGTCTGAAATTAATCTAGGCAGTCCCCATAGTTTCATTCTGAAATTAATCAGCCACTCAGGTCCAAGCAAAATTCTATCTATACGACTCCATTTCTCAGATTCTTGGGCATTACACCAAGTGTATTTTCTTCCATGCAGAGGTAAGTCATTGAGCTCACATTTTCCAATAAACTCATTAAAATGATGCATCCCTCTATCCCTCCTGGAGCAGCCTACCCTTTCTCCTATATGCCTTATTTCATTAAAGTCCCCACCCATGCACCAAGGAGCAGGGAAATGGTCTTTGAGCTTGAGGATGTCAGCCCAAAGAGATGATCTAGCGCAGATATCATTTGGTGCATATATGTTGATTAAGACACACTCAAAAGAGTTGTACAGGGAACCAGAAAGCAAGATGTACCTCCTATTACAACAGTAACCAGAGAGTTGAAAGACAGCAGGGTCCCAGATACAAAGAAGCCCACCAGCAGTGCCTTTAGGATCCACAGACATGTATTCCATATTTCTGCATCCCTAGAGCCTTCTAACAGCATTATCAGAAGTTACTGCTTTCTTGGTCTCTTGGAGGAAAACAATATCAGCATGCTTGTCTTTTATAAGACTTTTGATTCTGCCTTTCTTCTCAGGTTTGCCTAGACCCCTAATATTCCAAGATAGAAGCTTCATAATTAAACATATTAATACACTCAAATCACCCATCTGCAGTGACTTATTTCTGAGTCGTCCCCTCATTGGTGATTCTAGCTTTATCCTTCATCTCAAGTTCGATTATCTTGTTTAAAACCACATCCTCCTCACCGTTAAAGTTAACACCCAGTGATTTCCCCAATTGTATTGTAGCTTCGGCTTCATCCAGAAGATAATTGTTAGAAGATGATCCACTTTCAGATAAATCAGACTGAGCAAAGGTAGAAGCTGCCGGTCTAAAGATAACAGACTTGGAAGATTTCTTGAGAGCTGCTGCGGTTCTGAATCCATGGAATCTAGCAAAGCTGTTAAATCCCTCTATGTGAGCCTTCGTCTTCCCTTTTTTCCTCTCAGTTTGCAGTGGTTCTGTATAAGGAATAATAGATTTACCTTGGCCTTTTGGATTGAGACTTAACAAGCTTACTCCATTTGGCCCCAACTTTTTTGATCGCCCAACAGATTGCAAAAGGGCCATATCACTGGATAGGGACTGGTTTGGTACATGGCCCAAATTAACCTCCAAATTGATACCAGGCCCAATGCCAGGCCCAAGGTCTCCAAAAGGTTCGTTGGCTAAAATGACATCCAGCTTAATACCCGGCCCACATCCGTCTATAGATTTGCCTGAAGGAGCTTGCTGAACACACTTCAACCTGCCATCATTATTTTTTGAATTTTGGTCTGATCCTTCCATCAAAGTCCCCTCAACGCTTGCTCCCTCTGACCTGATGGAGCCTCCAGGACAGAGAGTCTCTTCAACCACAGTTCCTAATTCCTCCCCTATGAGACTACAACTAGGCTCTTTCCTTTGTTTAGTCTCGTTAGTGCAAACCAGATCAGTTCCGAGCAAAACACTCAACTGAGCCACCTCATCACCATCGTTTTTGACCCTTGCAGCTGCCTCTGGAGTGTTGCTAACCGCCTCACTGTTGCTGGCTTCTGTGAAGTCGGAGTCTTCCATTCTTGATGTCTTCATCCCATCAGAATGTGCTAGATGGTCTTCGCATACAAGAATGTAATAAGAAAGGCCCTTACACTCCAAGCAAATAGTTTTGTTTATATATTCCATGGATGCAGTAGCTACTCTGATTCTGGCGTGAGAAAAAGATTTAGGATGGCAGATATCACCATCTAGGCTGAGGATGGTGCCCCAAACCTTACCAATGCTGTTGAGTGTATTTCTATTCCATAGATGCAGGGGTATACCATAGCATCTCAACCAAACGCACCTCTCCTCACTCCTTGCAGTTGCTTCCATTAAACAATTGTAAGTTATATTTTGATTAAAAATTTATTTATGTATTTTGTGTTATATTATTCCACATGGTTATCAGTTGTATTAAAAAAATTGCTTAAAATATTAAAAAAATTCAATAAAAACAAAAAAGCATGGAAAACAGGAAAATATAATTTTCTGAAAAGTGTTTTTGGAAAACTCTAACCATGGTTTTTTTTTTTTAATCAAGTTTTTTAGTTGAGTTTTCATAACTTATTTTATTTTTTGAAAAATGAAAAATTAATTTGACAAAAATAAATAACAAAAAATATATTTTGAATTTTTAAAAATTATTTGCTCTCCAAAAAAGTGAAAATCAAATGAAAATAATGTATTTATTTTTCGCCAAATTAGTTTTTAAAAATTTTAAGAAAACATATTCTTAAAAATTCAACATAACATATTTGTATTTAAATTGGACTTTTTAAAAAACATCTAAAAACCCAAAAAAAAAAAAATGTTCATCAAGCGCTTTTACAATATACATTGCCAAACACAATTCTATTTAAGAAAGACTTTTTGTGAAGGACTTTGGTTAAAGTCCATTGTTAAATTTTAATATTTTCAATTTATCCAAATTTATAATTAACCAATGGACTTTAAAGTCCAATTCTATTATCCAAAATTTTTAAAGTCGATGTGTATTTGTAATTTATCCAAAATTATACAAGAGAAAGAAACCAAAAAAAAAAATGGGAGATCAAGTAGACTTCAATACATACTTGATTGGTTGGTTCTATCAATGTAAAAAAAATACCTCATAAAAAATACTTGATTGGGTGGTTCTGTCCATACAAAGAGGCTTCCAATGGTACTTGCCATAAAGCTTTAACAGCACAACTATAAAAGTTAACCCAAATGAAAATTATAGAAAATACTTGTCTCTTTAATTTCACGTCCGAGTATTACCTTTTCATGATTAGGAGTTTTTTACCAAAGTGGTAGTCTCATTATTGAGAATTTTATACTACAAAGTTTGTTTATCTTGAAATTTAAATATGAAAAAAACACTTCCACACTCTTTTTTTTCTTTTTTATTTTTATTTTTTTTATCTTTGCTTAGCAAAATGAAGCCGCAACTTATTGCCCAAGAAATAACCCACCAAAGCAGAATCTCTTTTTTTTTTTTTTTGATTAAAATGAACAAAGTACAAGACAGAAAAGAAAACAAACAAAAGCACAGCAGAGGGCCAAACAGATCAGGCCCTTTCAGAAGAAGTCCCAATAATGTCTGCAACTAGGAGACTTGTAATCTCATTTGGGGGATCGTCTAAAACTACCAGGTTCTCAACATGATTCACTCCCATGTTAGCAAGGCCATGGGGCACATTTGTTGCTTTCCGTGAGAATGTGAGTAGCAAAGCAATTGCATCTCTTCATAAGGAACTTGATATCTTCTAGCATAGCTCTGTATGGGAATTGGCTAGGTGTGTTGTCGTTGATGTACAACACCATTTGCTTCGAATCTGTCTCAATGGAGATATCCTTCCAGCTTTTCTCCAAATTGATAGTAAGGTCTCTATACACTCCCCAAAGCTTAGCTTCCTCACTTGTGGTTGACCCTAGTTTCCCATAATAGCCTGGAATCTAAGATCCTCTTTCATCTCTGAAAAGACTACCGTATCTCGCCGGGCCAGGATTGTCTTTAGAGCATCCGTCTGTATTGAGTTTTGTTTTACCTGCACAAGGAGGGCACCAATTAGTTAAAGGACTTAACGCACTATCTGTGAATTGGTCAGATTGGAAATCTTGATGAATTTCAGTTGCTTAGAGTATCTCCAACCCAATATTCTCACCAAGAGAGGATGAAAATAATTTTTTTATTTAAAAAGTAAATATAGAATATGTCACTATTCATTCAAACTCTAATCACAAACCTTCACAATCTTTCATCATCCCTTCATCAAAAAGTAATTTTTGTTCATTAACAAATATTTAATTTTAAAATTTTTGTAAAATATATTTAATATTATACTCATTTTAAATGTATGATTTTATACTTTTTAATGATGCCAATTTTATAAAAATTAAATTTACATATTAAAAGTTATTTGTAATATAATAAAAAATATAGAATGAATAGTATTTTGGAGGGGATCCTCTATTTTTCATCCTCCCTCCAAATATAGAGGAAAAACTCATCCTCCTTTCAAATAGAGATGGATTTAGAGAATGGGTTGGAGGAGTAAATCCTTCATATTTGAAGTAATGGAGGATGCATTGGAGATGCTGAAAGATCCTTCTAATTGTTTCTTGCACATGGCTCTCCTCCTGTCTAAAGACTATTATTTTTGTCCCTCCATATTTTCCATGAAGTAACAACAAAAACAACTTACCAAAGGATTTTCGAGAATTGATCAAAATCCCATTGAGTACGGCCTTTTTGAGGGATATGAACATTATGAATTTGATTTAAGTCCATTTGCGTAAGAGGATTGGCCCCACATTTTTGCCCACTACTTACCCCACTTTGTGCAGGCCCATTTATGGAAGCAATTGTAAATGACCTCTATGTTCTTGGCCCACTCATAGGATCATTTAATGACACAGCCCTACAAAAGAAGTCCACTCCCAATAATAATAGGAGAAATGTTAGAGGCTATAATTTAAGCCAACAAATTCAATTACATCAGTCATGTGGTAAGAGAGTTGGACGTTATATGATTAAGTGTGACAAATTAAAAGTTGACACGTTACATTATTGTGAGTGAAATTGGAAATTATTTTAGAGGTTTCAAACAATTTCTATGAAATAATCACTTGCATGTCAATATATACCTGTCTTCTTCTTCTTCTTCTTCTTCTTCTTCTTTTAATATAAATATTGATATTTGATTCAGATTTAATCAAATTAGCTCATAATCACCGCCATTAATGATTAGATCTCATAACAATGAAGACTTCTATATATTATTTCATTTCCTTCTATGGTTTCCTTTTTGTTTTCAACTTTCTCTTCTTATGACATTTTTTTTTTTATAAAAAAATACAAAATTTTACATATTACACATTTGACAAGAAGTTAAGACAACTAGAGTTAATATATCGGTTGTCATCATAAATAAATAAATAATTATTAGCATTATTTATTATTTATAATTGTAGAACATGTAGCATTGTCTTGCTTACTTGGAGGTTATAAGAAGTTATGAAAGGAGTAAAAAAAAAACAGCATTAAACACGTGAAAAACATGATGGAGAATGTGGAGAAAATGGAACATAAATTGGAGGAGTTGGAAGTAGGGGTGATAAACGAACAAAACAGCTTGAGCTTGAGTCGCGTTTGGCTTGTTAAAAGTTCGTTCGAACTTAGTTCATTAAATAAACAAACAAAGTTTGAATACATTTTAGAACCTTTTAAGGTTTTCAAACAAAGGTTGAATAGTCACTTGCTCATTCGATTTGGTTCAATAAGCCTAAAATTATATAAAATATCAAACTACTTGATTTCGGCTTGATAAAAACTTGTTTGTGATCGGTTCAAAAGTTTAAAAAATCAAGTTTAAACAAATTTGAAACTTGTTAAAGTAATCAAATC